GAAAAGTCGGTACTTCCAGTCGGAATTAATTCTCAAAGAAGAGTTTGTTTCGAAGCTATTCGACTGCCCGGTTTCCTCAAGACGAGGAGAAACGAAGGTGCGGCCAGGTGGAGGAGAATATTGAAATTCGATACTCGAACTATACGCGGCGGTGTTTCAGGTACATAAAGTACAGGCGGTCCGTCGATATCGTCGTTATTATTTTATTTCGCTTTCTTGCGGTATATTAACTTTAGGCTTCATTTTAGCACATTGGCAGCCGCTGACGGAATATTACGTCCTTTCGTACCTACGACGGGGATCGATAACGAACAAGGTTCGTAAAATTGAACCTATAATAAAGTATGTTTATACACGTTCGATACCGTGCATACTCCTAAAGAAGCTTTCTGTGATCGAGGTGAACAAATTTCGTTATCGCGTGCTTGTGTTTTTAGCGATCAGACATTGAGTTTATAGTTTGTGTCGTAACAACTTTTGCAAATAATTACGTACATACATGTCACATGATCCCATCTATAGTCATAAGTTTTACGAGCCTCTCCCTTAATCGTTATTTTTTATTTTCGTACGAGAACTGCACGCAGCGTCGTTCTTTCCTCTAGTAAAAGAGAATCGGTGCCCGAGCCTCTTCATTTTACGAAACGTTTTACCTCCACCGACAGAAAATACTTGAGCGCTTCTTTAATCCCACTTTCGGCTCGTTTGACGACTGAACTAGTCGCGGAGCGTAAAACTGAAAACTTTTTTCGCGGACGTCCAGGTGGGTTTCCATTTCGTTTCGGAGCAGGGTAACCTTCGAAAACGAGCTCTCGAAGTCTCGAGCGCGCGGGAGGACCCTCCGACTATCGGGTTTCGATTACGGCCGATCGAGGTAGAGAGCTCGCGATTGGTCGGGCACGGGGAGATTGTTAGCACGACTTCGACGCGTTGTCGCAGCTCGCTCCAAAAACCGAAAGGAAAAAGAGAGGAAAACAGATGAGGTCGTGTCGCCCCGTACAGGCCGAGCCCGGCTCTCTATCCGTTTCCCTTCGTTTCATCGGTGGAAATTTGCATTTTAAATTAAAGGGGATGCACTCGAGACTCTTTTAACGATGTTCCCGCTCGTTGAAATCCCCGGGTATTTCGTGTCTCGCGGAGTTGCCTCTCGTTTCGCCGCAGTTGGATCGCTCCTCGCGACTTACTCGCCGAGCACGTAAACGCGTTTTACGGAGGAGCGGAAAGGCGACGCCAAAGAAAATGCAGGGACCCGCGAGAGGCTCGGGTCGACGAGCGTGCGCGTTGGAAACTAGGTTCGCCGATACATTTGCATGTCCCCTACGGCCAATCGCTGTTAATAATCCATTTGTTCTGAAGAAATGTGTAAGCGTCAATACTTTTAATGTCGACGCTTTTATTTACGTATTCTGATCAATATTAAGGGAATAGTTGAAAAGGAAGATGCAAAATGAAGTGGAGAACATTGACGAGTTTCGAGTCTATTACACGAAAATTATCGATGCCTAGATCTGGACATTTAAAAATTGAAATATGTACGACGAGAACCTCGTGAAGTTGACTTAAACTTTTATTGTTGCTGCATTAAACTGTCATGTTCCAAAAAGGTTGACAAATTAAATTGAATTAAAAGCTTAATTAAAGCTTACAAGATCAGAGTTTCTATAAATAGCGAGCCTATAACGTTTATTCCAACTTTGTCGTAAGTTAGTCTGAAGCTTGCAGTTGAATCTTTTTCTGGCATTAAACTGTTATGTCTCGAAAAGGTTGAAATCAATTAAATTCAATTTTTATAAATGGAACTGATATAATACACATCCATTTGTCCTGAAACGGCAGACGATTAGGAATGGAACACTTGTTTCTTCCTGCTTGCGGTTGATATTTTCGGTTTTACGATTTAACGAATGACCGTGGCTGAAGCGGCAGCTCGCAAACCTAATCGCCGTGATCGAAGCGAGAACGCCGCTTGGTTTCGACGTATCAGTGACCGTGGTAGTTGAACAATAAAGAGAGGACAGTATCTATTCGGATTACAGTCGCCTTGGGAGTCGTCCCGAAACGATGAGGCTCTTATTCGCCAGCCATCTCGGGCAAGCCCTGGTGGGGCCGTGCCGCCTGTGTCCAGGAAACGAAATATGACGCGAACATCGGAAAAATCCGCCGCCCCCGCGAGAGACCTCCTCAAGTTTTAACGAGTCGCGACGAGTGTGTTCGAAAAATTGTTGAGGTCGCAACCGAACATTTTTTGTCTACGTACGAATTTTGAGAAACGAGCAGAAGAAGAACTTTTACTTCCTATGAATGGAACGTAGAATTTGAATCAGGAGATGAAATTATATTTCGGAAGATTAGAAATTATTTATGAAACTCTTGTACGAGTTCCTTGGATAAACTCTGGATTCGAATGAAAATGCTTTACGTATTTGGTAAAAAAGTAACCAAATCTCATTGCGAATTACCCCATTGGATGTCGCGGAGTAAAAAAAGAAACGCTACTATTACCAATTACATTCCCGCACGTTGTTTACATTGGTTTACGTAGAATTTGAGTTTGTTCTGACCCTTATTCCTTCGATTCTCTATATATCGTATAAAGTTTTGCCCAATGGCGAGGAAAATCGCGGCCGACGTTACGCACGACGAATCTGCAGCCCAATGTAACTGCACTCGTCTCTTTGGAATAGCAGACCACCGAAGTTTTACGATCAGACCACCGTCGAACTAACTAGAGCTCATTAACCGCCGCGTTCGTAGACCCTCCCAACGAACTTTCCTTTAATATCGAGTTTCGAGAACGACGATAAACCCGACGATGCGTGCTCGAATCAGTCGCATTGCGATTTCATCCGGTTCTTCGTGGCTCCACCGAAACACGACGCTCTGAGTTAAGATCAATGACGTGGATCGAGAAAAAACCATCGTGGGTTTTAAATTCACGAATCTTTTGAAAATGTAAATAAATAAACCTGCGCTGAGTTTTTCGTTGAAACTATACAAAGGCCTCTACACTAGAATACCTTGAGACAGAATACAGGATTCGTTTATACTCGTAGGAAAGATTTTAAATATTAAGGTAGCGCTTTAATGGGTTTAGAAACAAAGACTCAGTCTACAAAATTGATTAGTTAACATATCTCGAGAGGTACACCCTCTCAGGTTCTCTCGTATATCTACTAAATATTGGGTTGCCTAGAAAGTCCACGTCGATTTTTGTTAGGTGGTACGAGTCTGAATACATCGGAACGGTTGAAAACAAATAACATCTACACATCCCTTAAAAGATGGGGAGGTTGTGGAACAAAATGGTACCAATGTAATTCGATGTTAACATTCAAATGTCCCTTTGAATTTTTCTTAAAAATTGCAACGAACTTTCTGGACAACTCAATATTATACCTATCTAAAAAATGAGAATTGTATTCTGCTGCAAGGGGTGCCAAAGAAGATATCCCTTCACGAAGAAGCACCGATCTAGGGTAGCCTCGAATGAACGCGTTTAGGCGAGCGAAACCGAGTCAGGAGGCTGGAGTCCAGCGAAAAAAGTCGAAGGCTAATTCTGGTTTCGCTAACTGGCGCGGGCACCGCCAGGAAGCGTCGGTGGTGCGATATGGGGGCAACGGAGATCCGTTACATAAATCGTTCGTCGCGACGACGCCGAGGCCGACGCCAACGGTCGACGGCGGGGGTTATCTACGAAAACATGACCGGTAACAAATTACTCGCGATACGCCGGCATTAACCGTTCGCGCCCACGTCGCGTCGCGGTTTACAATCTGCGCGCCATCATCCCTCCGCGTAATTTACTCAAACTGTTCAAGGTTCTGCGACGACGAGCTTTTCATTGTTTTTTTTTCGAGACTTGGCGTACATTAGAAATTAGACAATTTTTCTATGCCCACTCGTAACCAGGTTCGTAACCAGGAAGCGAAGACGCGTTCCGCGGCGCGTCGCACGCGAAGACGACGATGGAAAGAGAAACACAACCGTGTTCCGTGTCTTCTTTGGCCAATGATTTCGCGGTGGTGGCACTTCAAAGTGACGAGAGCGAATAGCGAGCATAGCCCCGGGGCTCGTTTCTCAGAATGCTTTACGGACCGCCGACGAGAAGTCCGGCCGCTTCATTTGCTGAATTTAGAATGAATTATCGGGGTATTAACGTTGCACGGGACGAATAACGATCTACCGGGTGATGTATGACGTATCCTGTTCGCCGTCCTCCTCGTTTTTCTTCTTTGTCCTTGCCGGTTCCTCCGCTCTCTTTGCTCGCAATCGACGCGCGGGCGTCGATGTCGAAAAACGGTACGCGCAATCTTCGGCGACGCGGACGCGATAAATTTACCGCTTCGAGATTGCAGCGGATAGTCGCGATACTCGAAGACATCCAAACCGGAACAGATGCATGGCTCCGCGAGACGGAAAAGATCCCTGAAGGAGTCGACTACGCGCGCTGGAGTAGGTAAGAATTTTTAGGATCTCGATAGTCTTATCGTTTTGTGTTCGATTGGCCAATTGGTACGAGTCACTCGAATTTTATATGCTTTTCTGAGTTTTTCATGCATAAATATCGAACCTTCCTTTTCGATGTCCAAAATGTAAACGATTGTTAAATAAAAAAAGAACCTGTGACATCGTCGACGGGGCTCGAGTAACGCATTAGCGGGATGAAAAATGCGCTCCCGTCTTCTCGAGCGCTTTTTTCCGCGTGACGGCTTTGTGCGGGGGGGGTTCTGTATCGATAAGGACTTTCGTGGCATAAAAATCAATGTCGCCGAAGCAGCTTATGTACAATCGCGCCGGCAGCTACTCGTACATTATATCCCACCCCTGCGACGGATTTACCGGCATCCCGCGCTTCGAAACACACGCTCTCCTTTGTGCAGCATGCGCGTGTCACCCCCCTGTACGGGAAACGCTCGCGGCCACCATTCATCGGGCCACTTAATCGATCTTTTGTAAGAACGCGTTACGGAAACGGGGAGGTAAAATCTGCGTAGACTCACCAGAATTCTCCGTGCTCCTGTCGTGATGGCCACACCTGAAACAGAAAAGCGTCAGATTGAGTACATAGTTGCCCAGGAACGACGCTAATAGGTGTTTTTTGAATTTATCACGGGTGCCTTTACGTTCAAACGTTTGTACGTGTAGTTCGATTCGAAAATATTTAGTCGTCATTTTGTTATGTTAAGCCTCTATGGACCAAATTTTTGTCTTCTGCAAACTATTTGCAAGCCGTTTACTTTGATATTTCAGGTTGATAACCTAAGTCTCAACCTGATGGCCGTTACAATCTAGGTGCACGTACGAAGTTCAGTAGAAAACAAATTCTACTTATTGTTGTTCTTCTACCAAGTTACTTCTAACAAGTATACTTGGCAATTATTAAGTATAAAAATTGATATTCTGGCTTTACCATATTATTGCGTTAAAGAACCAACGAATTATAAAAGATACTTCGAAGCACTCCCGTGTATCTCAACCCAAATTTCTCGGAACAACATAAATTCTCCCATAAATTGCAACTTATAATCAAGCATCTTCCTTTGAGTTGCAAGATAGTCCTATAAAGTGGTGCGTCCATAAACGATAGATACGTATATATAAAAAACAACGTCACGATGAATGGGATGCCTGTTCGAGTCAGCCACATCAAAAGGAAAAGTTCCATCCCTTTTTGTTCGGCATTTTCGTCAACCGTATCGGCGAGTCGATAGGTGAAATTAAGCTCGGCTATCCCTCCCCGTCGCAGAGCTCCGACTGTAAACGGAGGGTGGATCGAAACGACGAGAACAAAAAGGGACCTAGCCACCGCAGGCATTGTTTACGGAGATTGGAACACGCGGCGGAACCGCAGTCGCGTTCCCATCGACTCGCTCGTCTTTGCTGGAACACGGATTCGAATTTTCCAGACGACGAAACGCGGCACGGAGCCGCAACGACTGACAGGAACATCGGTTGCTCCCGAGAAGGGTGGGCTCCTCGCATCGGCGCTTTCGCCGTCTGCATAAAATTATTGCCGACAACCCGTGCCCGGCGCCCGTCGAGTCCTTCTCCCGCGACTATCGATCCTGCTTATTTATAGCGATACGAGAAAACGGTAACCCGGTTGTCGCGCTTCCACATCCGGCGGTGAAACTCGACCGCGCGAAAATCGCATACGCGCTCATCCACCCTACGAGTCCGGCGTTCGTTAGCCTGTTCGTTAGTCGATCCCGTAAGTATTCGTAACCCTCTATATTTATTGAAGGCATTTGTTTAATTTAAATTAGTGTGAAAATTATTCATGTATATATTTGCAATGGAAATTTGATTTTGGGCACACGAAGCCTATCATTTAAATTAGACAAATTTCTTCAATAGATATAGAGGGTACAAATACTTATGGGACAGACCGCATGACTGACTTGGTGATCAACGTGATGCTTATGATTTGATCACGGTGCGCAAGTTGAACTACCCTGTATAACCCCCGCACGCGACGCTTTTAATCCGTTTAGAGAAACCATCGAAGTTGGTCGAGCCATTGGTTTCAATCGGTGGTCCCCGGGCATCTTTCCCGGCTGCCTCCGAGGGCCGTGGTGTCTGAGATTCGCTTAATTGCAAATCTCGGATTTACGGTAATTGTCCGAAACAGGACGGACGCGAGCACAGGGTTGCCAATAATCCCGGCATCGGATTTAATCCGTCGCTCCCGAGGGGCGCGCGTCGCGCACGAACGTTTCGCGGCTGCGCGCGATCGAGTATCCTCGTTAGAAACGTGCGGGAAACAATTAGCAGACGACTATTGTTTTTGTGGTGCCGCCGCTGCAAAAATTACACGCGAAAGTCGCGAGTGAATAGCGGCTCGCGCGAATTTACATTACAATGGATGTTAAAATTAATTTGAACGCGGCCCGCTGGAAAACATAACGAAGCCCGATGAAAACGTTGCTCCTGCTGGAAAAGCTGTGTAGATACCGTCGTAACAAATTGACCGTCAATTTCGACGGCGCGACTCCGTTAATCGACAGTCGTTTCACTGCTTGGATTATCGTAGGGATAGGGGTAGGAATAAAGCATGCGTAAGTAATGGCATCATTTTATCTAATAAATTGGTCGTTCGGTAATATTAGTAATCATATTTGACCCTCGACGAAGGCTGGCTGGCGACACGACAGAGTATTTTACTCAAAGGACTTTTTTATTATCACTTATAGAGAAGTGCGTCATGGAAGTCTCAAATATCTCGTTCGACTAAATAGATATTCAAAGTCAGAAAAACGTATGGATGTTTGTAAGTAGTATGTATAAAAGAGACGTGGTAGCTATGAACACGATCACCTCTTAATATTATATAGAATAAATTTGGAATTCAACTATCGAGAAACACTTGTGTTCATTTTTATTGCGTAACATCAACGACGTCAGCGACAGTATTTCCAGCGGGGTTAAAGTAACGACGTTATAAGCGGGACAGATCGTGCACGATGTTTATCTGGTCGAACGAGACGGGCGCACGCGTGTTTATGCACCGAAGAGACGGCGAGCAACGTGCACGCGTCAGCGTCGTTGCGACGTATACGTAAATTAAATTCTTCTCCCGACCTTCGCCCGTCTTCCTCCTCGGGCGTGCGTCTCGCGACGTTCCGCGTCGCCAAAGCACCGCACGATTTGCCCGCGCGGGAGAAAAATGACGGAGGAGGACAGCGTGTGCTCATCTGGACGCCGTTTATCGATATGTTACGGAGTGGAAGTGGACTCTATTCTGCCGCAGGAGAAAAGACCCGCGGATGCGTACTGGGTCAGACGGTCTATAGGCGGCCGCCGCATTCTACTTACTCGCAGCGCCGTATTAAGGGGGAATACCTGTCTGGGCGGTCGATTCTCGGGCATTCTTCTGGTTTTTTTTCCTTTTGATTCATAAAGAATTTTTTCTGTGGGAGCATCGTATACATGTTCGTTCATGTTTCGTGTCCTACTTATTCGCAATCCATATTTCCCTTAAAAGAGTATTCTAGGGGATTAGTTTGCAGGGATTCTTTTAGATGTGTTTCTTTTCTTTTTTTTCCTTTTTTTTTTCTTTAAATATAGATCCATGAAGGATTGTTCTATGGGATATTTGAAAATAATCAGAACTAGATGTAATTAAAGTGATCTTGTATGAATTTCGTTCCTAAGACTATGTTTATGGTTGCCACTGTGTCGTTAATACGAGAAGCAGTATAGCTCGATCCGAGATAGTTAGAAAATATTGAAAAATGGGCTGTGTATAATAGTATTTAGCGTGAAAAATCATGGCAGCCGCGAAGAACCCCCTTCAACCAGCATGAAAGCCAGTTTACATTCGAATAAGGCTAAACTCTGCGTTTGATGAGATTGCAAAGGAATTGTTTCTTATGACCTATCATGTGAAAACCTAATCGTACATTCGGAAAAATAGCGTTCTCGATCAAGAGAATTAGAGCCAGCAATCGACCGGAAGCGATATGCATTAGTCAACAGAAAGAACATTGCGTTCAACAAACGCAAAGAAAGGAACGAACTTTTGCATCAACTCTATCCTAAGTTATCCTAGATCTACCCTAAGGATAAAGTTTAAATAGATCGAATAAAACCAGACCAGAAAGCAGTTAGCAGCTCAAAGGTTCCACTTGAAACGGTTAAATGTTGGAATGACAAGCTTCGTTGACTAAGATATTACCCTTAACGAATCGAAAAAACAAACAACAACAACAACAACAACAACAACAACGTAGTTTACATCAACTTAGGGGAAATAAACAGGAATAGGGCGCGGCGACAGCTCGACGCGAACGAAAATAGCGTTCGCTCGAGCGGGGTCTTAACGAACCGCAAAATTGCCTACGTAAACGTAAAATCGATACGAGGTCGGAAACTGGCGAGGGTAGAGAAAATCCAGTAGGCGGGTAATGGGTTATTCGATATCCTCGCAAATTTTGGGTTTATCTTCGTCCGCGCATGCCCGACGCGTACGCGCCACCGGCGCGCAGACTGAAAACTTGACCGAGCATCTCCATTATTGTGTGTTCTTCCATGAAGATGTACGAAACAGATAAACTTTAGTTTTACACACATTTTTAGAGCTTTACTTTCCTTATTATTATAAATACAGAGGAGTTGACTATTACAATGCTGAGGGATCAAGAATTTATTCATACGAGCGTGACTACCATTTTTACTAGAAGAAAAGGGGAAAGATTAATTCGTATGAAAATTCCAACCTTGAAAAGAGTAAACGCGATATTTAAAAAACCAAAGAAGAAACATCCTTTATGTTTGCAGTAGTGTCAACGCTCCAAGAAGGAGTGTCTTTGTTTTTATATCATTGAAAATTATTTTTGTTGAATTGAAGCTAGTACTTATTTTTGTAATTTTGCCAAATTCATGAATCCTGTGTAGATTTATTTTCTTTAGCATCTCATCTTTAGAAGTAACTTATTTAACTCCTTAGTGAAAAATCCAGTCACCCATACATGGATGAGGTGGCGATCAACGTGTTAAAATACGACTAACGTCTACGGAGCGTATTTACTATTTCAAAAGTACAAATGGAACCTTTTCCACGTTATTATTAACAGTGCAAACTCTCGTTACAATGTTTCTATTTTTTTTTCCAAAAGTACCAACCCCTTGAACGCCCCCGTGGCTCGCGAGCCATAGCGCAGTAACAAAGGTAATCGCGTAATTAAGTTTCAGCGTCACGACACAAACTCGTTGCGACGTGGCCGCGCGTACGACCAAAATTCGTTTTTCGCGACAATCCCCGAAACGAGGGGGAAGTTTCGAGTCTGGCTGGAAATTTCCCCCGCGTTTCGCGTTGGTCGGGCTGCAAATTTCGCGAGCGATAACGTCGCGGAAAATAGGCAACGAGCAAGGCTCGCGCATGGTATTCAGAGCTGTGTTGTCGCGGTAAACGCAGGGAACCCTAACGAGAACACTGACAACGCGCAAGTAAATCCTACCCTTCGAGGGCGGCTGTCCCGGGGGTGCGACAACCTCGACCCGCCATATTAACCTGCTGGGGCGAGGACTCGCAGG